AACCAGCCTGAGCAAGAGCGAGACCCCGTCTCTACTATAAATAGAAAGAAATTAATGGCCAACTGATATATATATAAAAAAAATTAGCCGGGCATGGTGGGCGCATGCCTGTAGTTCCCAGCTACTTGGGAGGCTGAGGCAGAAGGATCACTCAAGCCCAGGAGTTTGAGGTTGCTGTGAGCTAGGCTGACGCCACGGCACTCACTCTAGCCTGGGGAACAAAGCGAGACTCTGTCTCCAAAAAAAAAAAAAAAAAAAACCAAACAAAAAAACCTGATTCTCTGATGATCTGAAGAAAACACGTACCAAGTGTTTGCTGCCCTTTCAGTTTGACTATCCATTGCTAGTGCATGAGAGTTCATTTGAATTCCATTTATGTTTGATTTTTAATAAAGATCCATTTGCTTGCTTCAGCAGCACATATACTAAAATTAGAATACAGAGAAGATTAGCAATTAAAGAGAAAAATAAAATAAACAAAAGATCCAGCCTTGCTCACAATTCTATCCCCAGGCATCAGGACCTTATAGGCCTAATGTGAATTGGTTTTTTTTTTTTTTTTTTGAGACAGAGTCTTGCTTTGTTGCCCAGGCTACAGTGAGTGCCCTGGCGTCAGCCTAGTTCACAGCAACCTCAAACTCCTGGGCTCAGGCGATCCTCCTGCCTCAGTCTTCCGAGTAGCTGGGACTACAGGCATGCGCCACCATACCCAGCTAATTTTTTCTATATATATATATATATATATATATATATATATATATATATATTTTGTGCACAATATTTTTTTTTCTATATATATTAGTTGGCCAATTAATTTCTTTCTATTTATAGTAGAGATGGGGTCTCGCTCTTGCTCAGGCTGGTTTCGAACTCCCAACCTCCAGCAATCCACCTGCCTAGGCCTCCCAGAGTGCTAGGATTACAGGTGTAAGCCACAACGCCTGGCCATGAATTGGTTTTAATACCCTAAAGACACAACCAGTTTTGCCATGTAAAATAATTAGTACAAACTCTGACAAGTATAACTTCTTCTATATCAGTATTAATGGAGGGTCAATCCACAGATAATTTCCAATCATTACACCTTTGATACAATCAGACTTAACAAAGTTTGACTACTTTGCCAAGCCAGAACTACTTTCATTCATTTAAAATTTTTTTCTTTTTAGTATGTTTTAGGGAGAACACCCATATTTTTTATTTTATTTATTTAAATTTTCAAAACTACTTTCAAACAAGCTATCTTGAGGTGGTTTCAGGTTGGGAACATACCTATAGTTTAGCCAAGATTTAGTGTTATATTAATATCTATAAAAATATATTAAGTACTTTTACAGCTACATCATTTCATCTCATCTTTACAAATATGATGCAAAGTACTAGGCAAATATTTTACTTAGATGAAGAAACTGAGGCTCAGAGATCTTCAGTGAAAACTAGAATTAAAACCCAGAATTTTATGAAACAATTCAAAGTCCTTTCTATAGTACCATGCAAACTTTCCAGAAAGATCTTATGTGCATGTATAAAAAGAGAATAGTATTACTTTAGGTACCAAATAACTCTAAATTACTCTAGATTTTGGATCAGAATTTAACTAAATAATGTTCTACTTTTAAATAAATAAATTTAATTAAAGCTAAACAGTTTAAACCTGTTTTTAAATTCAAAGTCTTGATATAATGTACTACATTTATCATATGCCCATCGCTATAAAATCTGTCAAGGGGAAATATCTACCTAGTTCTTTTTCCTGTTTAAAATAATGTGAAGACTTAACTGCTTGTCCAGAGATGAGTACCCAGAAATAAGATATAAACCATTTTCAGGGAAAACATGCATGAATTTATTTTTAAGAATTCCCAATAAGGGGGGAAAAATTCAACATCTTTAAAAATGTGTTTATTTTTTAAAAAATCAGTTGTGTACAAAAGTGTTCCGTAGTTTTTAATTCTGAAGACAAATACCCAACCCTCCACCCACCCTGCTTCAATGGTATTTCTGGTAACCCACCCATATTCCCCTTACAGGAAGTTAACGGCTCAGAATAGACCCTCCTACAGAATTTACCATCACTAACAGATTGTTTAGAATAGAGATCTAGAGAAGCTAACAGGCAAGGTTCCCTATAATGGCAGTAGACTTCCAGCAGACACAACAAAGCACCATCAATTGCTGAAAGCTAAAAAATAGATATCATTTTCAATAATATTTCATTTTATATTGGAAAAGTCTTTACATTAAATAAGTCTCTTTCCCCCCAAAGAAATAGTCTAGCTTTTATTATGATGCCTGTAGGTAACAGCAAGCAGACAAGGATCGTTAAACAGCACAGTGCTATGATTTCTATTCACTCATCCTTAAAATCAAACTACACAAACTGTGCCACACCTGATTATATATAGCAGCATGGTTCAAACAACCAAGCAAAAGGTGACACATTCATAACTTACATTTAGGTGCTGACTGCAGGTTTATGAGGGTAGATCAGTCCAATAAAGAGGTAACAGAAAAAACAGAACCAGGGAGATACTAACACTCCCCTACCCCTATGCCACAAGATTTTTCATCTATATCGCAAACAGTGCAAATAGAACATGTGACATAATATGTAGACACCAAAGAAAAGTCACAGTTGGAAATAAAGGCTATTTATCAGTAAATACTTCAAGTTGCCTTCTTTTCTTCCCAGTGACAGCAACTGAGTGATGGAAAGCATTTATTTTTGAATATTACTAAAAGAATGGAAATGCAAATTTTAAAATCAATGGTCTGTACCCTGGAATTGAAATTCCTAGAACTAGAAAGGGTGATTAATACAACATAATTTTGTAACAGTCCATGAAATAAAGTTAATTGTAAACAGATGGCTTCTTTCTTCATATCTAAACACTGTTTCCATCTATGTACAAGAAGGTATACCTGGTTCCAGCTCTTCCCTGCCCCAATGTATCTTAAATCTTTAAAACAACAACAAAAATTCTTAATTTCCTGTTTTGTTACATAGAATTGTGAAATCATACTGCTACTGCAGAGTTTTAAAAGCTCAAATCAGGCATACACTTATATCCAAGATCTACTTCTCACATTGGTAAACTTATTAAGCAGCCTAAACAGTAATACAACATGCTGCATTTTGTAGTGCATAAATAATCAAAATCCATTTTAACTGCCAATTCTTTCTTATACTTAAAAAGAATTATTTTGCATAGTTTTAAATGCCACCAACAATCACAAATGTGAAATACTCCAAAAAAAAAAAAATCAGTCTTAATTTTATGTCAGATTACTCTCCTCAAAAGCAAAATACTCAAGACTCCAAATTTTTTTTTTTTTTTGAGACAGAGTCTCACTTTGTTGCCCAGGCTAGAGTGAGTGCCGTGGCGTCAGCCTAGTTCACAGCAACCTCAAACTCCTAGGCTCAAGCCATCCTCCTGCCTCAGCCTCCCGAGTAGCTGGGACTACAGGCATGCGCCACCATGCCCGGCTTATTTTTTCTATATATATTAGTTGGCCAATTAATTTCTTTCTATTTATAGTAGAGAGGGGTCTTGCTCTTGCTCAGGCTGGTTTCGAACTCCTAACCTTGAGCAATCTGCCCGCCTCGGCCTCCCAAAGTGCTAGGATTACAGGTATGAGCCACCACGCCCAGCCTCCAAATGTTTATATATCCTTGAACATGGTATGTTTAAGAAAACCACAGCCACAATTTTAAACACTTTGGCGAGTCAACTCAGAGTATCTAATTTAGTACCAAGTTCCTTAAATATTCATATACTATTGTATACTTATTTGGGTCACTAACTGCTATTCAGTTATCTGTACTGAAATACTATATAGCTAATTATTTCTTCTTTTAAAAATTAGGTACATACAAGGAAACAGGCCTGATTATAATAAAATGGGATTTTACTATATTTTTTCCAAACATAATTTTTGAGGCTTTAAAAACTGACAAATCCTAAAATATTGAGAACTATAAAAATAATCTCCACCAGGGTACTTTTTCCCTAGGCTTGAACTTTTTCCAAACACATTTAAGACTAGAGAAAAAAAGCAATTGCCTTAGTTACCATGTGTGGGGAACTAAATTCCTGCAGAGAAGTAAAAAGCAGAAACAAAAAAAAGTCAGAAGTACAGTGGGAAATATACCAGAAAGGAAAAAAAAGATTATCACATTAAATGTAAATGAGGTAAGTACATTTTTATAAGGAACAATCCATTATGGAGAACTTCTTAAACCAAATACAAATATTGTACTTTCCTATTTCCTTGGCACTGGTGATGCTGAAGTGTAGTTAGATGAGTAGATACCCCATGGTGCTAATGTGTATAAAAATCAAAGCAAGATATAGCTGCCTCCAAGAGCAAAGTATGTAATGTTTGACCTTTAGTAACCTCTGAGCTCTCTCTCTCCTTTGTCTATCTGCAGGACAATTAAATATACCCTGATAATACAGATAAAAAATAAACTGAGTAGATGTGTGTGATATTTTAAAAAACTCAAATATTTACCAAGCCACTTTCCACTAAGAAAAAATTAATTCTAACCAAAAATGGAGAAAAATTGTCCATATTTTTACACAATCCCACCTTACTTCAAAATATAAAGTACAAGGTTTCAAATATTTAAAATAAATAAAGAAAAATCTTGTTTCCTTTGGCATTTTTAGAAAATAACTAAACTACAGCAATAAAAGGTGATTGTATAAAGACTTATGCTTAAGCAAACATACAGGGGAAAGATAGCGATTTGTGTTCAGTATGCAATAATATCAACTACAAGAGTTAACTACTAATTAAGAAAGCCTTACAAATTTTTGGAAGAACCCTCATGTCTTTAACATTACAATATATTTAATAATGGTTCTTTTATTGCTTCTAGTATCAAGATTATTCAGAAGTCAAATGAAGTTATGCTAACCTTATGGTTCAAAAATTATTTTCCAAATATTTAATGATTATAACTTAAGATAAATAACACCTGAAGAAAACAAACCTTTTATAATATGACTTTCAATATCCACCCTTACTTTAATTCAGTCTGATTCCATTACATTTTTATTATTTTGCATTGGTCCTGAAAATGTAAAAAGAATTGTATTTCTATGAATAGAACTGCCTGCATAAATCCACTTCAACCTTCATAAAATGGTTACATTAGCATTTGAGCTTGCAAACTAATAATTTTCAAGCTTTGAACTTAGAATGAAATGTAACTTTAATACAAATAGAAAGCCTCACTATGTACAAGAGAAGGTAAAGTTTTCAATTCTCATATTATCAGAAACATCCAAAGAAAGCTAAATTTATAACACACTTCTATTCCTATGTGCATTTGAAGTATGTACAGGAAAACACCAACACAGCTTTTATGTGTCAATATGGGGAAGTGCAAGCAACAGTGACTTTTAAAGTATCCAATAAAGCAATCTCTACAAAGCCCAAAATTAGGCTAAAAACTACTGGAAACAGTTGATTGTATCCTTGCCAGTTCTCAAAGAAAAATTTCATCAGTTTAAAAATATATGTCAAATTCACTGAAAAACTAAGTTGGGTTCTTTCATTAAGTCTGGGAATACTGCAATGTCAAGTATTTACTGTTTTTGCAAAAGAAATAAAATTGGCGGCTCCATTTTTACATTATTACTTACTTACACAGGAAAACTTTAAGAGTGTTTGAAGAACTGTGACAAAACATTCCAAACCTACGACCTAAAAATGGAGCAAGGGATACTGTCCCTCGGCACATTTCCCCATCAAATACAGAAAAATTTACCATTAGAATATTAGCCGTGTATGGTAAGAGAGGAAAAATAGATACGGTGTCCCAGTCTGTTGACAAGGACAAAAAGGCTCTGAATAGGTCACCATCTTTAATTCTAGATAAATCTCATATTTAAGAATTCTCAAATGCTTAAAATGATGGTCTTTTCAGCTACCCATCCTAAGAAGTCAAGTACAAGCATGCAAGTAAATTCACAGGCACAAAGGATCCATGTTAAAAACAGTTAAGGTAGCTGTGATGCAACACCAACAATTTGAATGGCCCTGACACACTCAAAATATTATCTTAATTATTCAACAAAACCCTGAAGCAAACTCTTGCTAGTCTTGGTACACTGCTAAACACTAAAGTAGCATGTTTTTCCATGGTTTTAGCTTAGCTCAAAGAATTTTTACACTATTAAGAAAAAAAATTAAAGTATTTCCCCTTTTAAATTTACACAGACGTTTAATTAGCTTTATTTACAGAGCAGGGATTTTTTTTTCTTTTCAGTCTCCAATGGTGCCTAGATAACATTGTTAGGCAAGAATGCCAGTTTAAAAGAAATTTATGCAGAATCCTAAAAATAACACGTGTTGGTGCTCCTCAAGAAGAGGCAAGCTTGACTGTATCAGCAGCTCTCTGTGTGCCTCAGTTACTCAGAAGCAACTCTGTTGCAGTCTCTACATCCCATGATTTTGAAGACAAGGCCACTATTACTGCATTCTATAAAGAAAAGGGAACAAAAAAATCAAATCTCAAGATAACATTTATATTGAGAAATCACACCTTATTTCTACTCTTTAAAAGTTGCATTGTATTTGTAGTGCTTCTATAAGCTTCTAAAAATCAATGACTGGAATCAGCAAAAAGAAAAATTACTGATTTTTAATAACAAAATTTGCTTACCAAAATTAGATTTTCTTATTTTCAAAACCACTTTTGTCAGGCAAGGATTTGCAGTAATAGTTTTAAATCCATCAATATATCAAAATCAAAGTACCATGTACTTACCCTATCAAAGCCCATAGCACAGAGGTTTTCTATTTTTTTGGTGTATTCTGGACTAGAAACTGGTGCTCCAGCATACACATGTGCCCAAAGTCGAGCTGTCTGTTTGAACATTTCAGGATTTTGTTTGTACTATATGAGGGGGAAAAAATGAATTGATATGACAATACAGTTATAATATTTGATACAGTATCTCAGCTCTTAATTACCTAAGACCTTTCTTTTTCCAAATAAAACAAATTTACATTTAAAATGTGACTCCTTTTCCATTAGAGACGAGCTATGTCACTCAAGAAAAGACTATTTAACCTAAAGCTTTGATTCACATGTTGTGTTGACAAAAAACTGAAACAAACCAAAAGATAAATTAACATTAATCCAATTTAATTTCTAAATTCAAAAAATATAATTAGCAAAAACTAAGACTAAGTGAAGCAAGGTATCACATATGTTCTAAACTTTGCAGCAGCAAACATACAACCAACCACAGAATTATAAGCTTATAAAATTATGTGGACATTAGCTAATAAATGTGACCAGCTTTATTTATTTATTTATTTTTTTAAAGATAGAGTCTCACTCTGTTTTCTGGGCTAGAGTGACATGGCATCAGCCTACCTCACAGCAACGTAAATAAAACTCCTGGGCTTAAGCAATCCTCCTGCCTCAGCCTCCTGAGTAGCTGGGACTACAGGTATGAGCCACTATGCCCCGCCAATTTTTTTCTATATATTTTCAGTTGTCCAGATAATTTCTTTCTATTTTTAGTAGAGATGGGGTATCGGTCTTGCTCAGGCTAGTCTTGAACTCTGGAGCTCAAACAATCCTCCCGCCTTGGCTTCCCAGAATGCTAGGATTACAGGTGTGAGCCACCCAGATGCCTGGTCTGTGACCAGCTTTTGTATTAACTACCAGGCAGGCTAGAATACAACTATATTTTCTTCTTTTGTTAGAGCTTTAATAGTGTACAATGACGGAGGGAAACTTCACATCCAAAGTCCTGACTTATTGGCTGGGCACCATGGCTCATACCTGTAATTCTAGCATTCTGGGAGACCAAGCTGAGAGGATGGCTTGAGTTCAGGAGTTCAAGACCAGCCTGACCAAGAGGGAGACCCCATCTCTACTAAAACAGAAAAAATTATTCAAAGCACTTACTCTGAAAAAAAATAAAAATAAAAAAATTAGCCAGGCATGGTGGTGCCCACCTGTAGCCCCAGATACTCAGAAGGCTGAGGCAAGAGGACCATTGGCGCCTAGGAGTTTGAGCGAGACTGTCTCAAAAAGAAAAAGAAAAGAAAATCCTAACTTATAACATGTCTTGAGACAATTATGAACTCACAATAAGAGTATTTTTAAAAGTTAAGACTTCCAATATGAATTGGAAAGAGGTAAATTTACTCTCAAATACTCTTGGACCACAATTACTTATTAAAGCAAAGTATAAATTAACAATAACTATTCATTTTAATATTTCTTTTTAAATTACTTTATACATTTTGAATAGTTTCAGATAGATAAGCATCTATTACAGATAGACCTGGTTTTACCATGAATTCATAGAAAGGAAATAAGTCAAATTATTCAACTATTTTAGGAGCTAGGAGAAATCTTTGAGTCCAACCTCATCCTGTGAGACTTAAAACTAAACAGAAAATCAAAGCTGGAAACTCAAACTCTGCTTTTAACAACCAAATAGGAATAAACAGCACCTACATTAAACATAAAAAACTGTGATTCCAGGCACTCTTGGGAAAAATAATAGAACATATTAACAAAGATATATAACTAACAAGAAGTAAACAGATCTTCAAGGGAAAGAAAGAACAGTTTCCCAGAAGAGATAATATGTAAATTAAAATCTTACAAGATAAAGAAATCTACTAAGAGGAAAAGTTTCCTAAGGTAAAGGAAATAAGACAGATTGGATAAAATGTCGTGTACAAATGAATGCAATGATTGAAAAAGCATGAGTTTGAAGAAACCAAGAATATAGGAAATGAAGTTAGGTTTGTAGATAGTTCAAATCATGGAGAAACTCTGAAAACTGAAGAAATCTGGATTCAAGTAGGTGATAGTGGAGCCATCAAAGTTTTTAGTAGTAAAATAAATATTTATACTTCATAAAACTAATTGATATCAATGTAGAAGACAGGGGAAGGAAGAAAGAGGCTGAGAAATGGGAGATATATCAGAGCAGTCAAAATGAGAAATATTTTTAAAATGTGACCTATGGCAATAGAGTAAATATGTAAAATATAGTGATAGAGAGATACTAGGAATGGTATCAACAGGATAAAAGGAGACATAGAGAACTCCAAATGCTGTAACTTAGGTATTTAACTAAATTGGTGATGGTACCAAAGAAGGATGAACAAGTCCGCATGATTTAAGATTATGCATTCAGTTTTGGCAATGTTGCGCAGAGGTATCCAAGAAACATTCAGATAGAACTATGAGGTTCCAAACAGGCTCTTGTGCTCAAGAGAGAGGTCAAGTCTAACCATTTTATCAGTGTATAAGTGGTACATCATTACAGATATGATCATACAGCTGAGTGTATATAAGAGAAAATAAAGGTAACAAGGTCAAAATGGAGGGACTACATTTAAAAGAGAGGAAGAAAAGAAATACCTGTGGAAATAAGAAGGACCAACTATAAAGACGGCAAGAGAAGACGGTAATATATCAGAAACCAGCCAGTCTGGCCGTAATTTGCTAATCCCTTGCCTTAGAATGATCCAAGGGCAGAATTGAAAAATATTTATTCCATTCAACAAATTACAAGGTCCTTGAAAATTTTATAATGCTATGTCAGTGCCATGGTAGGCAGTGACTAAAATTATCACTAAGAAGGGATCATCTTTGAATGGAGGGATGGATAGATGGATACACATAGGATAAAGCATGTGTAGCAAAGTGTTAATCACAGAATCTAGATGGCAGATACATGAGGGTTCACTGAGTAATTTTTGACTGTGTGTGTTTACAAATTATTCTGTTAGGAAAATAGCATCTACCATATACCCCATTAAAGTAGCATGTTAAAAATCAATAAATTTAGTTTTCAGTATTATATCTGACAAAATAACCTCAGCACAAGAAAGAAAACCATTTCCAAATTTAGTTTCAACACAGTATGTTCATGTGTTAACATCACAAACCACTAAAGTGGTTAGAGACTCATACATAGTGTAAGAAAGTCTTTCAAAAGCAGCCATCTTACCTGATTTGCTACTACTGCATCTTGTGGATCATCCGGTTCTGCAGCTGCCAATAGTGCTTGCAATGACAATAATACCGTGCGGAGAGTCATTGCTGCCGCCCTAAAATTCAAAATATGAAAATATCCCAGTTAAGAAGGCTCTGAATGGGAAAAGCAAAGTGGGTATTTTCTGAATAAAACAAAAAACTAGTAGAGCTAAAAGTTACTTAGAATTTTGTTTTAATTATGGAGTTAGTTTATAGAAATTTGTATTTATATACCTCCCTATACATTTCTCCTTTAATTTACAATTAGCCAATTTCTTTTTTTTTTTTTGCGCGAGTCTCGCTTGTTGTCCAGGCTAGAGTGAGTGCCGTGGCGTCAGCCTAGCTCACAGCAACCTCAAACTCCTGGGCTTGAGTGCCTTCTGCCTCAGCCTCCGAGTAGCTGGGACTACAGGCATGGCCACCGATGCCCGGCTAATTTTTAATATATATATCAGTTGGCCAATTATTTCTTCTATTTATAGTAGAGACGGGGTCTCGCTCTTGCTCAGGCTGGTTTTGAACTCCTGACCTTGAGCAATCCGCCCGCCTCGGCCTCCCAAGAGCTAGGATTACAGGCGTGAGCCACCGCGCCCGGCCAGCCAATTTCTTAAGACAAATCATCTTGAACTTTCTTTGCTCTTTTCTTACTATTGCCAATATCATTCTTGTTAGCTTTACCCACTAACTTACTTTCTATCCATTTCTCTAGACATAAAGTGGTAAACTATTAGTATTAATAACTTGTAGAGGCTGGGCATGGTGGCTCACACCTGTAATGCTAGCAATTTGGGAGGCCAAGGCGCTCAGGGTCAGGAGTTCGAAACGAGCCTGAGCAAGAGTGAAACCCTTTCTCTACTAAAATAGAAAGAAATTAATTGGCCAACTAAAATATATAGAAAAAAACATTAGCTGGGCATGGTGGCACAGTGCTGTATCCCAGCTATTCAAGAGCTGAGGCAGGATCTCTAAGCCCAGGAGTCTGAGGTTGCTGTGAGCTAGACTGACACCACAGTACTCTACCCTGGCAACAGAATGAGACTCTGTCTCAAATAATAATATTAATTAATTAATATTAAAAAAAGCGTGGAACTTTCTTTCAATGACACTCTGGAAAACAAGATATATCAAGCAAATATCTTTTCTTATTTCAAAATATTCCTTAACATCCTGTAATAGAGCATATTTTTGCTTAAAATACGTTAGTTAATGCTCTAAATATTTGCAAGGAAATATTTTTATAAAGCAAATATTAAATATTTATCTAGAAGAGTATCTACCTATCTAGCAATGATTCTTAGTATTCTATTAAAATTTTTCATCAATTAATATTGAAATATTATAAATATAGATATTTTGAAAATATTGGAGAACATAACAGTATGCCATTTTATCACACAAACTAGATAATTCTAAACCAGATTTCTTTTCAACTCAGTTCCTGATTTGAACCACAGAACAGAGAAATTATTTAGTGACTATTTCTCAATTTTCCCAACCATGGTACATAAACAAGACCACTTTAGATGCTTAGGAAATAGTGAATTTATTATCATAATGGATGTCTTAAGGCAATGGTCTCACAAAGTATTTTTCCCCAATTAGCATCAACATCCTGGAAACTTGTAAGAAATCAGGCAGGTGCGGTGGCCAGCGCGGTAATCCTAGCACTCTGAGAGGAGAACCCGCCTCTATTAAAAAATAGAAAGAAATTAATTGCCAAATAAAAATATATAGAAAAAATTAGCCGAGCATGGTGGTGGATGCCTAAGTCCCAGCTACCCAGGAGGCTAGGCAGCAGGATTGCTGTAGCCCAGGATTTGAGGTTGCTGGCGAGCTAGGCTGACACCACGGTACTCTAGCCAAGGCAACAGGTTAGAGAGACTCCGAAGAAGGGAGAGGAAGGAGGAGAGGAAGGGGAAGGGAGGAAGGGAGGAAGGAGGAAGGAGAAGGAGAAGGAGAGGAGAAGGAAGGAAGGAAGGAGGAAGGAAGAAGAGGAGAAGGAAGGAAGGAAGAAGAAGGAGGAGGAAGGAAGGAAGAAAGAAAGAAATCAAAGCTCTTCCCATCCAGATCTATGCTATCAAGAAAAAAACTCTGAGAATTTAATAGGTATGGCAAGTGATTCTGATACACACTAATGTTTGAGAAATACTTAAGCAGTTAATACTTAATTAAGCAATAAATTAAGTGAATTAAGCAGTAAATTAAATACTTAAGCAGTAAATACTTAAGCAGTTAATTACTGCTTAAGCTAATCGAGAAAGATTGTTCTACATCAATGAGATTAAGCCGGTACAACATCCAAAGGTCTATGGTTTATATATTAGAGAAAAATAACACCTTAAATGGTTCTTTATCAAAAATGCTGTTAGAATCAAAATTTTTATTGATCAGTTCATCCTTTTACAGAGATATAGGAATAGGAAAAAAATTGGTAATGATGCTTAAAAATTAGGTGAAATGCTAAACTAGCATTTAAAAGAGAATAGGATTTCTAAAGCTTTTCAAAAGCCTACGTAGTTTTAAGTAACGGAAATTTCTACTGCTGAAATAGGGCTGCCAAAATAGAAATTGTTTTTCTAGACTAAGGTCCTAAATTTCATAAGACCTTACACAAGTTATTTTCAACCAACAGTTGTAACATCTTTAATATGGACAATATTCTTTTAGGGCAGAAGTCAAAACAAAAAGCCAAATTCAATCCTCCAATGTTCATTTTTGTCTATCCATCATGACAATTACAATGGGGAAATGCTTTCTTTATTAAGAGTACCCTACTCTTGGCCGGGCGCTGTGGCTCACGCCTGTAATCCTAGCTCTTGGGAGGCCGAGGCGGGCGGATTGCTCAAGGTCAGGAGTTCAAAACCAGCCTGAGCAAGAGCGAGACCCCGTCTCTACTATAAATAGAAAGAAATTAATTGGCCAACTGATATATATATAAAAAAAAAAAAAATTAGCCGGGCATGGTGGCGCATGCCTGTAGTCCCAGCTACTCGGGAGGCTGAGGCAGAAGGATCACTCAAGCCCAGGAGTCTGAGGTTGCTGTGAGCTAGGCTGACGCCACAGCACTCACTCTAGCCTGGAAAACAAAGCGAGACTCTGTCTCAAAAAAAAAAAAAAAAAAGAGTACCCTACTCTAATTTATTGATGTATCTGCATAAAACTAACAAATCATGAAAAACAAAAAAAGGGATAAATAGACTAAATATAACAAATGGAATATATTAATATAACAATTAAATTTGCTCCATAACATCCCTGGACTTTTTAAGCAACCTAATTTTTGTTGTTTTTTTTTTGAGACAGAGTCTCGCTTTGTTGCCCAGGCTAGAGTGAGTGCTGTGGCATCAACCTAGCTCACAGCAACTTCAAACACCTGGGATCAAGCAATCCTATTGCCTCAGCCTCCCAAGTAGCTGGGACTACAGGCATGCGCCACCATGCCTGGCTAATTTTTTCTTTCTTTTTATTAATTAATTAATTATTTCTTTCTTTTTTTTCAATTAATTTCTTTCTTTTTTTTTTTAAATTTCTTTCTATTTTAAGCAGATACGGGGTCTCGCTCTTGCTCAGGCTGGTTTGGAACTCCTGACCTTGAGCAATCCGCGCGCCTCGGCCTCCCAGAGTGCTAGGATTACAGGCATGAGCCACCACACCCGGACTAAGGAACCTAATTTAAAAATCCACACACAATCTTAAGTCATAATTTTTAATTAATAAAATTATTAAAGGAAATTTATCTGAATAGTGAAGATAAATTTTCACTCAAAATACTTAGGAAGTATTTTATACTAAAACAATTAAACTCACAATACTTTAATCTCAGCACTTTGGGAGGCTGAGGCAGGAGGATCACTTGAGCCCATGAGTTTGGAGACTGCAGTGAGTGTGACTATACACGTGACTATACTCCAGCCTGGGCAACAAAGTGAGACCTCATCTCTTAAAAAAAGGAAAATATGTCAACTGCTCCCTCATTTAGTCAAAAAGAAGAAGAAGTGAGATCCCTATATAAAAATTAGCTAAAATATGAATCAAAGACCTAAATGTAAGAGCTAAAAGACCAGAAGACAGCATAAAGGTAAGGCACTTCATGATATTAGATTTGACAATGATTTCTTGGATACAAGATCAAAAGTATAGAACACAAAAGAAAAAATGTGGCTAATTGCACCACACTACATCAAAGTTAATAATTTCTGTGTAAGCTGGTGTGGTGGCATGCACACCTGTAGTCCTAGCTACTCAGGAGGCTGTGGTGGGAAGATTGCTTAAGCCAGGAGCTTGAGGCCAGCTTGGGCAACAGAGTGAGATCCCTTCTCGTAAAAAACTCCCATGTAAAGGACATAATCAATAGGGTGAAAATGCAACTCAAAGAATGGAAGAAAATATTCACAAATCATGTATCTGATAAAGGATTAGTATCTATTAATAGACTATGTAAAGAACTTCTACAACTCAAAAACAACAAAACTCAACTAAAAAATGGGCAAGAGGCTGGGCACAGTGGCTCATGCCTGTAATCTTGGCACTTTGGAAGGCTGAGGTGGATTACTTAAGGCCAGGAATTTGAGACCAGCCTGAATATAATAGCAAGACCCTCTCTCTACAAAGAATTAGCCAAGTGAGATTGTGCACACTTGAACAGACATTTCTTTAAAATAGATATACAAAGGGCCAATGAGCACATGAAAAGAAGCTCAACATCACTTATCATCAGGGAAACACAAATCAAAAACCATAATGAGATAAAGCCTCACAGCCATTGGGATGGCTACTATAAAAAAAAAAAAATTGTTAAGCAGCATTATCACAACTGCCCAAAGGTGGAAGCAACTGAAGTTTCCATTGAAGGATGAATGGATAAGCAAAATGTTTACCTTTTTTGTGAGTGTGTGTATGTATATATGTGTATATATATATATATACACACATATATATATATTTGGATTATTGTTTAGCCTTAAAAAGGAAGAAAATACTGACACATGCTACACAATGGATGAACGTCGAAGATATGCTGAGTGAAATAAGTCAGACACAAGAGCCACATATAAAAGAATAAATATTGTATGAT